GAACCTTCTACCCACCATCCTTCAAAAGTGACAAGGTCCATCTCTAAATTGAGTTTCAATGTGTCATTAAAGCAATCTCTAGGTCACAGTCCATGTGGCCCCATCACTCAGGGTGCCTCATCTTTTCACAGAGGTCATTAATTGGTCTCAGGCATGAAATGAAAAAGATTAAAAAAAAAAAAAGAATGTTTAAAGGGAATAAATGATCTCCATGTAAAAGGATTCCAAAAGCTCATGTCCTACAAGAGGCAGGAAAACATTGTACATTCTGAAGTTTCTCTGGAAATAGGTCACATTTCCATTTCCCTAAAAAGAACTTCCCATTTTTAATCTCACTTGATATTGTGATAATTAAAATCGCCTCTCAAAATATCTACACAATGGTACTTATAAACCACTGGGCTCAATTAACCTCTTCTTATTAAGGAGCCAGCCATGATTTTAAACATATTTTTTGAAGTAGAATACATGTGACTATGACCCTCATTTCTATAAGGGATTCAAAAAGAAATCCAGGTTTCACAATTAGGACATTCATTTTTATTCTGAAAGAAAATAAAATAAATAGGAATCCAACTTATGTAAAACACACAGTCAAATCTCTTAAATATAATGGAGTGTGGCAGTTAGATTTTACATGTCAAAATACCCACTATCTAATGTTAAAATTCTTTCCATTTTGCTCTAAGTTTTAACACTGTTTTTATGATGACACGTGCTCTGCATGTCTACAAATATAGTAAGATGAAAAATGAAAGAAATTCTGGGGCCCCTACCATCTGGCTTGTGATGTGGATTGCTAATTGATCAATAAATCCCCTGTAGGCCCCTCCCCTGCTGTGTGGGTTTCTCCTCCCCCACCCCTGCTTTTAAATCCTGGTAAGTGCAGACCTGAAGCCTAAGCAGCTAAATCACATTCAAGTAAGTTATGTTGTTTAATGAGAAGTATTTACCCCTGTACTTTGATGTAAGCAAAGCTGTGACATGACAACCCAAACTACCAAAAGTATTCATCGGAGATGATTATTTCCATCATAAAAGGAATCATAATGAAACTCTCTGAAATAACACTTGATGTTAGTATACTTAAAATTTGATTCAACTAAGAAGAATTCTGTTTTCATAAAATGTTTAGAACCTCAAGTAATATATCAACTGAGGTGAGATGATTTGTTATATATATATATATATATATATACACACACACACGTATAAACACACATACACACACACACATATACACACTCATTTATTCAACAAACATTCATTGTATAAACCCCCTATGTGCCAAGAATCACTTGGCACTAGGGACAGAGCTGAATAAGATACAGACTTTACCATAAGAATATTTCATACAATCACATCTCATAAATAAGTACAATGGAAGAGAAGGAAATGAACAACTGCATATGCAAAATAAACTCCTTAACAAAAAAACACTAGGTTTCATTGATGGCTACATGAGGTCTACCCTAATTTATATCCTTCTCTCACACCCCTCTGCTTGCTTATATAGGATTCTGAGTCTGGGTTAACTTACATATAGCACCAAGAGCCACCCCAATTGGAGGGCTGGGGATTACTGATACAGAATGATCCAAAAATGTTAAGGAACTACAGAGCTGAACTCCCTCCAGTTCACAGGAAAGTCGTCATAAATTTCAGCAAATTATACCTGAAAAATATTTTGATTTTGATTCGTAGAGCTTGACAGCTGTAATAGATCCAGTTCCAAGGAAGTGCATTACAACTTTTACCATACAATCATTTTCAGTTCATCAATATTTACGCAGTTACTCCATTCTTCCCATTCCCAACATACACACATTAAAATAAATCATAAATTGGTTATCTTGTACATATAACCAGTTGCTTAAAGGTAAGTATATCTGTTTTGGTTTCAAGCAACAGAAATCAAATCTGAGTAATTTAAGCAAAGGAGTGGTCATTTATTGAAACCAAAGAAACTGTTGAACCGTTAAGCCTTGAGAAAGACACCAATATATCCCTAGAGTCTCAGTAAGTATGCAGAAGTTCTCTCTAATGAGCTAATTACTCCTCGCATGACTCCAGGGAGTCCTGGCCTCCTGACCATTCCAGTTTGTGTTTCAGATTTCCAGAACCAAGAACCTAGTTGGGTTGGCCTAGTTTGGATCATATGCCTACCCCTAGATCACCAAGGGGTAGGATCAGCGTATGTAGGCCTATTACCGGGGGGGGGGGGGGGGGTCCTGAAAATGGAGAAGTTGTCTTTGGCATTAAAGTAAGTTTTTAAAATAGTCCCTCTCTTTGAGGAGTTAGATTTCCCAGTTCACCATTGCTTCTTTTCTAATACTTATTCTGAGTATAACACAACAACTATGGAGAACTATAGGAGAAAGGAGAGTGTAAAAATAGTAAAATGAGCGTAACATACAACCCAACACTTTACATTCACCTCAACATGTAAGAGCTACTTCGTGATTTATTCTTCATCTTGTGGACATGGAGAGCTCCAGGAAAACAAGAGTCACCTAGAGTCACAAACGGATCTGATTTCTAGAGTCAAGAGAACAGAATGAGGTTTACCCCAAAGCCTAGCGAGAGCTTTATACTCCCTTAAACAGCCAGCAGAGGGATTCCTCAGAATCAGTGCTTCATGGTATCTCCAATATTGCTCTGACAGGAAGACATTACCTTTCTTTGTGAATTTTGAAAAACAACAAAAAAAACAAATAAAAATCCTAACTTCAAAAAAAAAATGAGGAGGAAGCAAAGACTCTGGGTTGATATATGATGACTGTCTAAACATAGAAATTTACAGGGTGCCTGGGGAGCTCAGTCAGTTAAGTGTCTGACTTTTGATTTCAGCTCATTTGAGATCAAGGTCTTGAGATCAAGCCCTGCGCTGGGCTCTATGCTGAGCTTGGAGCCTGCTTAATATTCTCTCTTTCCCCCTCTGCCCCTTCCCCTGCAATGTATCTACTCTCTTTAAAAAAAAAACAAAAACAAAAAAAACCTCCACAAAACTGTGTGTGTGTGTGTGTGTGTGTGTAAATTTACTTCTTCAAGAAGCAAATGGGTCTACTGTTTCTTTCTGTTGGAAAGGTTGCTTGATGAGCTCAGTTTTGAATTACATGAAAACACTTCTACACAGCGAACACTTTGAGTCTAATGAGAAATGTCAAATGGAAAATGTAACTAAAAGAGTCTTGCTCAAAAAGTCCCTGCTGATGAAACCTGAAATCAATATTGATGAATTTGGCTTGTCCAATCTTTGCTGAGTGGAATGAACTGGGTTGGTAGGAGAAGTTATTTTAGCTGTATTTCCTCAGCGTGCTAATAGAGATTTTTCCCTGTTCCTCCAGCCACACATGTGGCATACATTTATTATTTACAATACATGCACAGGAAGCACTTGATTGATGAGATAACCCCTCTTTCAGAAAGATCTTTTCCAAATGGGACTTTATACTGTAGGTGTTAAATCAAGTACCATAAAGTCAGTAAGATATAATTTTTCAACCATAGATTTTGTTTCCGATAAAAATATCACAAGGGTGATTTTTTTTTGTAGACAGTATGTGATGTAAAATATGGTTACAGATAAATATAGACTGTGCCTCTATATTTTTCTCTTTACATGCTCTCAAAGGCTTTGTGTATGGTGTGTATACAAGCTTACATAAATATGAGAGGAAAGAGAGAATAAGAGACTGGAGAGACTGAAACTGGGATGGTTCCTGTATAAAATGTAATCATATAGAGGAGGTTATTGTATTCATGTAGATTTTCGCCCATACTTAGATATTCATATTGTACTATTCCATTGAATAAGAAGTATGAGCATTCAAAATAGCATCTATGCGGCGTCAAAACATCTATGATTCAAATTTGATTTTGAAACATCACGATTGCTACCCTATGAATGTTCCCATCTAGGTTTAGAAAGCAAATTTTGCTTTTAAAGAAGGGAATAACATTTAGGACCCTGTGAAATTCATATCATTTGGCTTAATATGAGCTACTGGTTTTAAGTCTGACCACATCCAAATACAGTTCTGCCTGCTTTACGAGTTGTTAAGAGTCTTTTGTGTGTTTGTGTGTGTGTGTGTGAGCACTGAAAATTTCCTTTTTAAAGAAATAACTCTTTCCTTTCCAAATCATCACCTTATAGCTTTCCTGTCAATAGTATTCACCAAGAGCACATTTCATGGACAATTACAGTCACAAAAAGAAAACATTCATATATGTTAAGTATATGTATTAAGACATATTTATTTATACGTAATATATATGCATATATGCATATATGCATTTATAAATGCAAACATGTCTAAATTATAAGTAATTTGACATCATTCTAATTAACATTCTTACAATAGATCAGGCACTGTTCTCAATGACTTGTAAATATTTACTCATTTACTTTGTATGACAACACTATAAGACAGGTATTATTATGACTATTCTTCTCAATTTTCAAATGGCGGCACAGAGGGACGGTGCGTTTTGTGACTGGCCTCAGGTCTCTCTCTGAAACTGCTCAGCCAGAATAAGTACCCAGCAGACTAGACACAGTCTGCAGGTTCGCTCACCATGCTATCCAGAACAGGGGTCAGGATTTCTGTTGCATATTCTTCTTTTTTTAACAATACATTTTAAATGTTGTTCACAGGCAATTACAACACTGCACCAAGGGCTGGATGTGGCCTGGAGGCCATAGTTCGCCAATTCCAGTTCACTGCCAGATATTCTCACACAAGTTTTTAAAATGTAAATGCAATAAATGTAGACAAGAGAGCTTTAATTTTTGTGGACAAGTACTCTGTCAACTTCACAGTTTTTCCCAAAGACTTTATGGTCACCCCCCTCTAAAATCTTGTCCACCCTTTAACCACGTCTGGGTTTGAGCTCCTCATAGTCCAGTTCTTATCCTGTGACCCCACCAACCAGGCTCAGGTGACTGGTCCCAGGGGATCTTGTCACCCAATCTGGGACAGAGGAGTGGGAATTCTTACCTTGAGTAACAGTCCCCATCTATTCTGCTTGAGGGTCTGTATCAAATGAAATAGGAGGATTTCCAGTGGTCGTGGTTTCCACCAGCTGATCTGGCAAAGCTGGGACGGTCAGCCTGAAAGGGAGAGAACTGAGTCAACACACAGACAAGAGCAGGGTGACATATGGAGAAAGGATCTTGACAGCGAGTCCTTCATTCAGTTTATTCCTAAGGCTCAGCCGCATTCTTGTCCTTGAATTTCCTGAGAAAACTTCTATTTCCTTGTAATAAATCCCCCTCTGCCTCCCTACTCAGCTATCTGGCATTGGTTTCTGTTGCTTATAAACAAAACTAATACTTTTTATGCGTACGTACCATTTTTAATTAGCCAGCATGTTTAGACAGCGAAATTATTTTTAGGGAACTGGCTCACTAAAAGATTAAGAAAATGCATTCTTTCAGATGACTTCAGAGGTTTTTAGTTCAGATATTTCCATTTAGACATTTAAAATACACCTCTGAAGCAGTACTCATTTCCCTACCACCTCCAAAAGCAGTTCTAGTCACTCAAAGGCCAGAAGCTGATGTACAGGGCAGTTCTACAATTTTTAAAACTCCTACTATTTTCCAGCACTTTTCTTCCCTTCAGCTGTCACCCATGACCCAAAATTGTACCTGGGGCAGAATCATCACTAGACACATATGGTGTCAAAAGGATCAATGAATCAATACACATTTTAATGATTTTTTTAATGTTTAATAACCCTCAAAAGGCCCCTCTTCATCTGAAAAGGATTTTAATTTAAATAACTACTTATAAAAAATGATTAAGAAAAAATCCTAGGTAAAAATAAGAAAAAAAGAAGAAATCAGGGTGAGGGGAATCTTGTTTTAAGATAAATATGTTAAAGTGAAAACACAATACATGTGACATCTAAAGGAAAGACTGTGGTTTTTACGTTTTTGTTGCAATTTTTTAAAAAATGGGATTATAACAATATGCATAGAATTTCCAAACCCTTTAGGAACATCAAGCCGAAATTCGTATGTGGAATTAATGGGGGCTATTTCTCTACCATCTCTTCTCCTGGAAGCCACATAAAACTGTAGTCACACTTTCAGGGCAAATGGCAAAAATCACCCTCTATCTATCTATCTATCTATCTATCTATCTATCTATCTATCTATTTATTATTTATTTATTATTGTTATGTTAATCACCATACATGACATCATTAGTTTTTGATGCAGTGTTCCATGATTCATTATTTGTGCATGACGTCCAGTGCTCCATGCAGAACATGCCCCCCTTAATAGCCATCACCAGGCCAACCCATACTCCCACCCCCCTCCCCTCTAGAACCCTCAGTTTGTTTTTCAGAGTGCATCTTCTCTCATGGTTCGTCCCCCCTTCCAATTCCCCCCCTCATTCTTCCCCTCCTACTATTTTCTTTTTATTTTATTTTATTTATTTATTTATTTGAGAGATCAAGAATGAGAGAGAGTACATGAGACGGGGGAGGGTCAGAGGGAAAACAGGCTCCTCGCTGAGCAGGGAGCCCAATGAGGGACTCGAACCCGGGATTCCAGGATCATGACCTGAGCCGAAGGCAGTCGCTTAACCAACTGAGTCACCCAGGCGCCCTTTTTTTTTTCTTAACACATATTGCATTATTTGTTTCAGAGGTACAGATCTGTGATTCAACAATCTTGCACAACTCACAGCACTCACCATAGCACATACCCTCCCCAATGTCTATCACCCAGTCACCCCATCCCTCCCACCTCAACCCCCACTCCAGCAAACCTCAGTTTGTTTCCTAAGATTAAGAATTCCTCGTATCAGTGAGGTCATATGATACATGTCTTTCTCTGATTGACTTATTTCGCTCAGCATAACACCCTCCACTTCCATCCATGTCATTACAAATGGCAAGATCTCATTCCTTTTGATGGCTGCATAATATTCCATTGTGTGTGTGTGTGTGTATATATATATATATATATACCACATCTTTTTTTTTTTTAAGAATTTTATTTATTTATCTGCCAGAGAGAGACAAAGCGAGAGAAGGAACACAGCAGGGGGAGTGGTAGAGAGAGAAGCAGGCTCCCTACCGAGCAGGGAACCCGATGCGGGGCTCGATCCCAGGACCCTGGGATCACGACCTGAGCCGAAGACAGACGCTTAACGACTGAGCCACCCAGGCGCCCCTATACAACACCTTCTTTATCCATTCACCTGTCGATGGACATCTTGGCTCTTTCCACAGTTTGGCTATTGTGGACATTGCTGCTATAAACATCGGGGTGCACATACCCCTTGGGATCCCTACATTTGTATCTTTGGGTAAATACCCAGTAGTGCAATGGCTGGATCGTATGGTAGCTCTATTTTCAACTTTTTGAGGAACCTCCATACTGTTTTCCAGAGTGGCTGCACCAGCTTGCATTCCCACCAACAGTGGAGGAGGGTTCCCCTTTCTCCGCATCCCTGCCAACATCTGTCATTTCTTGACTCGTTAATTTTAGCCATTCTGACTGGTGTGAGGTGGTATCTCATTGAGGTTTTGATTTGGATTTCCCTGATGCCGAGCGATGTTGAGCACTTTTTCATGTGTCTGTTGGCCATTTGGATGTCTTCTTTGGAAAAATGTCTGTTCATGTCTTCTGCCCATTTCTTGATTGGATTCTTTGTTCTTTGGGTGTTGAGTTTGATAAGTTCTTTATAGATTTTGGATACTAGCCCTTTATCTGATATGTCATTTGCAAATATCTTCTCCCATTCTGTCGGTTGTCTATTGGTTTTGTTGACTGTTTCTTTTGATGTGCAAAAGCTTTTTATCTTGATGAAGTCCCAATAGTTCATTTTTGCCCTTGCTTCCCTTGCCTTTGGTGATGTTTCTAGGAAGAAGTTGCTTTGGCTGAGGTTGAAGAGGGTGCTGCCTGTGTTCTCCTTTAGGATTTTGATGGACTCCTATCTCACATTTAGGTCTTTCAACCATTTGGAGTCTATAATTGTGTGTGGTGTAAGGAAATGGTCAAGTTTCATTCTTCTGCATGTGGCTGTCCAATTTTCCCAACACCATTTGTTGAAGAGACTGTCTTCCTTCCATTGGACATTCTTTCCTGTTTTATCAAAGATGAGTTGACCATAGAGTTAAGGGTCCATTTCTGGGCTCTCTCTTCTGTTCCATTAAACTATGTGTCTGTTTTGTGCCAGGACCATACTGTCTTGATGATGACAGCTTTGTAATAGAGCTGGAAGTCTGGAATTGTGATGCCGCCGGCTTTGCTTTTCTTTTTCAACATTCCTCTGGCAGGGTCTTTTCTGGTTCCATACAAATTTTAGGATTATTTGTACCATTTCTTTGAAAAAAGTGGTTGGTATTTTGATGGAGATTGCATTGAATGTGTAGATTGCTCTAGGTAGCATTGACATGTTCACAATATTTGTTCTTCCAATCCATGAGCATGGAACGTTTTTCCATTTCTTTGTGTCTTCCTCAATTTCCTTCATGAGTATTTTATAATTTTTTGAGTACAGATCCTTTGCCTCTTTCCTTAGATTTATTCGTAGGTATCTTATGGTTTTGGGTACAATTGTAAATGGGATCAACTCCTTAATTTCTCTTTCTTCTGTCTTGTTGTTGGTGTATAGGAATGCCACTGATTTCTGTGCATTGATTTTATATCCTGCCACTTTACTGAATTCCTGTATGAGTTCTAGCAGTTTTGGGGTGGAGTCTTTGGGGTTTTCCACATAAAGTATCATATCATCTGCAAAGAGTGGGAGTTTGACTTCTTCTTTGCCGATTTGGATGCCTTTGATTTCTTTTTCTTGTCTGATTGCTGAGGCTAGGACTTCTAATACTACGTTAAATAGCAGTGGTAATAGTGGACATTCCTGACAAATTCCTGACCTTAGGGGGAAAGCTCTCAGTTTTTCCCCATTGAGAATGGTATTCACTGTAAGTTTTTCATAGATGGCTTTTATGATATTGAGGTATGTAACCTCTATGCCTATACTCTGAAGAGTTTTGATCAAGAAAGGATGCTGTACTTTGTCAAATGCTTTTTCAGCATCTATTGAGAGGATCATATGATTCTTGTTCTTTATTTTGATAGTGTATTGTATCACATTGATTGATTTGCGGATGTTGAACCAACCTTGAAGCCCAGGGATAAATCCCACTTGGTCGTGGTGAATAATCCTTTTAATGTACTGTTGGATCCTATTGGCTAGTATTTTGGTGAGAATTTTTGCGTCCATGTTCATCAGGGATATTGGTCTGTAATTCTCCTTTTGAATGGAGTCTTTGTCTGGTTTGGGAATCAAGGTAATGGTGGCCTCATAAAACGAGGTTGGAAGTTTTCCTTCCATATTTATTTTTTGGAACAGTTTCAGAAGAATAGGTATTAAATCTTCTTAAAATGTTTGGTAGAATTCCCCTGGGAAGCCATCTGGCCCTGGGCTTTTGTTTTGGGGGGATTTTTGATGAGTGCTTCAATTTCCTTAGTGGTTATAGGTGTGTTCAGGTTTTCTATTTCTTCCTGGTTCAGTTTTGGTAGTTGATACATCTCTAGGAAGGCAACCATTTCTTCCAGGTTATCGAATTCGCTGGCATAGAGTTGCTCATAATATGTTCTTATAATTGTTTGTATTTCTTTGGTGTTGGTTGTGATCTCTCCTCTTTCATTCATGATTTTGTTGATTTGGGTCCTTTCTCTTTTCTTTTTGATAAGTCTGGCCAGGGGTTTATCAATCTTGTTAATTCTTTCAAAGAACCAGCTCCTAGTTTCGTTGATCTGTTCTACTGTTCTTTTGGGTTCTATTTCATTGATTTCTGCTCGGATCTTTATTATTTCTCTTCTCCTGCTGGGTTTAGGCTTTATTTGCTGTTCTTCTCCAGCTCCTTTAGGTGTAGGGTTAGGTTGTGTACTTGAGACCCTTCTTGTTTCTTGAGAAAGGCTTGTATTGCTATATACTTTCCTCTTAGGACAGCCTTTGCTGCATCCCAAAGATTTTGAACAGTTGTGCTTTCATTTTCATTGGTTTCCACAGATTTTTTAAATTCTTCTTTAATTTCCTGGTTGACCCATTCATTCTTTAGTAGGATGCTCTTTAGCCTCCA